ACACACACATGTATACAAACACACATATATACATACATGAATATGGTGCAGGGGGTTCATAAGCAAACAGAAAAAGAGACAAATCCATCAAAACATTAAAAGTAGTTATTTCTGGTGGAAAACTACATTGGTTTTCCTTTTTGCCTATCCATAGTGCCTAGTTTGCCTACTGTGTTTCCTACTTGTATTACTCAGCCTTCTACTAGTTCAGTAAAAATTGAAACCAGCCACACAGCTGGTGTGCTGAGGTCACTGTTAGGGAGACCTCCCTGCTGCTCTCGTGAGCAGGATCTGTTCTGTTCCCCTCTCTCCTCCTCGGCTGTCGAGGGCATTAGGCCACTCACCTTCTTGATTAACCAGCCTGAGCTGAGTGCTACAATTGCATTATTTACAGATTTTAGTGTAATCTTTTAAAATCTTTTTATACGAGTCAAGGAGATAAAAGCCATAAAGAAGGAAGGTGGCACAGCACCTAGAAAGAGCAGGTGTCCTGGAGGCTGGGTCTTGGACCTGTCTGGGTGACCCTTACCCTTTCTGGGCCTCAGTTTTCCCGTTTGTGAAGGGAGAAAGTTGGACTAGCCTGGTGTTTCCCATAGACCATGGACTATTCCACTCCATGGCCAGGCTGCGTCTCGATTAGCTGAAGAGCTTTCTAAAAGGACAGACTCCAGGGCCTCACTCCCAGAGACGCGGGTCAGGAGTAGGAAAAAACAACTCACGTGATTGGGATGTGCATCCAGGTTTCAGATCCAAGAACTAGATTTGCAGAAATATAAACTTCATACAGACAAAGGACTGTGTTTACCTTATCTTTGCCTGCTTCCCTTTGCCCTATGGTAGTTAGTTCTCGGCAGACATTGGTTGAACGACAAAACATGTAAAATCCCTCCCAGCAGCGGTGCTGGTGTGCCGGCGGCTCCCAGCAGTCGCCCCAAACTAACAGCAGATGGTGCTGTCGGATCAGCAATGGCTATCTAACAGCCTCGGGTTTCATAAAACTCAGTGGGTTCCAAAGCTGCCTCACCCTCCCTCCCTCCACACTTAGCAGGAACGGGCACCTCCTGGGACTCAGAGGTGGCCTCTTTTCCCCGAGCCACCTACTAGTGTCGCCCACGCCCTGCTGAGGGAGCAAGCGGCCCTCCAGGCACCCGGGGCATCGCCGCCCTGGTGCAGCTTCACCACTAAACGTTCATGCAGTTCCTAGACCTGCAGCCACAAGGGCTCCCGGCGCCTCTGAGGACCTCAGGTAGCCAAGGCCAAGGCCTGTGATCTCTCAGCCTTCAGCCAACAAAATACCCACCACAACAAGTATGTGGGTTCCTAAATCCAGAGGTGAGACTTGGCCAAATCTTAGGGCAGCGGAACACTGAAGGCAGGCTGACCTGAGAGCCTGAGGCCAGGATTCTGCCAGTAACCTGAGGGAAAAGGCCACTCCCTAAAGCAAGGCCACTGTGCCTCCCAGGGGACACAGGTGGTAGAGGGATCACCCTCCAGGACCTCCAGCCTGGCTAAGAGGCAGGAATGGGGCCAGGTGATGTTTACCCATCAATAACTATCCAGGAAGCTTAGCAGGGACAAAGCAGTGCAGCTTCCAAAGGCAGCTCCACCCACAAGGACGAGCCTGAGCTCCCCAAGGCAGGTCTGTCCTCGTGGCGTCACAGCAGACCCGGGAGGGTCCTGGGAGAGAACATGTCTCAGTGCGCACTCCTGCTGAGCGCTCATACCTCAAGCTTCCGTAGAGGATTTCTTGGAAACACAAAGAACACTACTAAGACTTCAGAAACCAAAATCACTAAAAGAGTTTTATGAAGGGAAAAGAATCACTGGATTTGCAAATTGAGTTGGTTCTTAGGGAACATCTGCTGCAACAGTCAGTTCACAGCAGAGGAATCAGAGGCCAGAAATGAGGGAAGGTAGGCCCAGAGCCACGGGGCTGGTTAGAGCAGACCCAGCACTAGAGCCCAGGCCCCCTGACTTCCAGGCACTTGCCCCACATTCCGGAAGGGCCAACCTGTCAGGGTCAGCAGACACAAGCTCCCTAAAAATAGCATTCTGAACGCAAATGCTTCTTACCTGGAATCATACAGATTTTGTTTTTGTAACCAGTGAGCACACAAAGGTTCTTGAAAAATATTAAAATAATATAATTTTTAAGGAATGGTGAGGAAGTGGTCATGCATTTGATACTATAAAATGAGATCGCAATTCAATTTCTAAAAATACAAAAAAAAAGAGAGAGAGAGAGAAAGGAATAACATTATGGGGAAAAAACTCCCAGTGTGGTGTGCCTTCCCAGAAGTCACGCAGTCTTCCCGCAAGGACCAGATTGGTAATCGGTCACCACTCGCCACAGGAACTGGCCATAAAGAGCCAGTGTCCAGTACCCCCGTCTGCCCTCCCAGACCCTTTCCTCTGGGCCTCTAAGGCGACAGGGGGAGACAAAGCAGGGAAGAAGGGGTTGCTTCACTTCCTGAAAAATCCCTAAGGACCACAGAGCTCCTGGTCTTCCCACAAAAAGCTGAAGTGGAAAACCATTTGGGAAGTCGTTCTCTTCCCGTGTTGGGCAGGGGGTTAAAGTGAGGAAGGTGGGGATGGGGACAGAAGCTTATCTCCAGACACGAACACCAACAGCTTGGCTTCCGCCCCCAAGACAGAGACTCCAGACAGGCCAGCTTGGCTTTGTCCACTAAAGACTGGGGGACAGCAGTGCTTGTCCTACGACTTCACAGGAATGAGACTCTCGTGATTTGGGGTTAAAGGAGCTAACTCTGGAGTGAGCATCCTGACTCTGTGAGTTACCAATTCTATGACCTTGGGCAAATTACTCAACCCCTGGTGGACTTAATTTCTGAATCTGGTAAGTGGAATTAATATTGTATCAACCTGGTAGGGCTGTGGTGAGGATGAGACAGACTGAAGCACAGAAAGTGCTTGTCAGGACGGTGCCTGGCATGTAGTGAGCCCTCGCTTTTGAGAGATGTAGACAACGCCACAGAAACAGAGCGATGGTGACGAAGAGCGTTATCGCATGCATTTGCTAGCAAACTGACCCCCCAGGAAAGGTGAACTTGTGAGCGTGTGTCTTGCTGCGAAGGTGTCAGTGGCATTACACACAGTAAAAGGAAAGAAGCGGGAGATAAAGTACAATGTTAAGTTGTTGAACTCAAGACCCACTTGTGAGCAAAACAGACACAGCCCGCGCCCGGGGGCTCCCCGTACCTGCGCCACTACGGCGAGTGCTCATGTCGGCCACGTACGTCCACTCGTTGGTCGCCGGGTTGTACTGCTCCACGGTGCTCAGGCACTGGCGGGAAGCCCCATCGTAACCCCCAACGGCATACAGCTTCCCTGGAACAGACAGAGTGGCTGAGGGTGGTGCCAGGGACACAGATGGAACTGGAATTCGGCTGACGCTCCATCCGTAACCCACTGGAGCAACTTTACTTCAGTGTTCTGGGCCCCCTTCCTCCAGGGGACCACCAGCTTATTCCCTAAGCAGAGCATCCTTCGCATTTCTGCCTTCTACTTGCCTTAAGCCATGAGCTCCTTAGAAGCAAATACTGAACCTCATTCTAAATAAGTACTCCAAACACCCAGCACAAAACCGTGGCCTAGCACCACTGCGGCTCAGCACATTCTTGCTGGTGAACTATGTTAAATCTTTAGAATAAGGCACTAGCCCCGCATAGACGGAAAGCTAGAGGGCTCCCAGCTACAGGCAGGCAGGCCAGCTTTCTGGCTAATGGCTCACAATAGCAGATGAAATAAATACGGAAAAATATTCTTCGATGATAACCCGAATCCTATCTTAGCCATTGTTTCCACCTCCTGCACAGCTCTGCCAGGTAGAGCATGTGAACAGAGTGTTCTCCGGCATTCCAGGCTGGAATCTGTCTGCAGACTACCCAATGATCTCTAAGCCATACACAAGAGCCCTGAAGCATCATCATCTACTTTTAAAAGTAAAAACACCATTAAGCTGCTATATAAGAGCATCGTTTCTGCCTGGGGCTGAGGGCTGAGAAGGAGGTTGGGCAAAGAGGCAGAAAATTAGTATTTGAATTGTCCCAGAGCAGAGATTCAAACGTGGGTTTAACATTTGGTCTTAGAATGCAATGGGGTGGTCTCTCCTGTGGGGGGCAGGGGAGGAGCCCTGCCTCACCCAGGGGTATCGAACGTCTGGGGGAACCATGGAATCACAACAAGGACACTGAATACTAGCTGAGCACTAAGAAAATACCACCAAAGGCAAATCCGCTTAACAGGATTACGTAATCAACAGATTGTTCTGGTCACTCTGTGCATCGTAATGGAGGGATACCAAGAGTACAATGGGCATGTGAAAATCTGTAATTATTTTAAGTTAGAAAGAGTCTCAGGCTCAAAACTGTGCTCTACCATCAGGACTACTGCTGTACCAAATGTAAAATTATCTCTTCTTCTATCAAGCCTGGTTTTATTTTCTGCCCCAGAGTCCTTTCAAATGTCCCATCTAAAAGAAAGAAACATCTTCTCCTCAGTTCTGCCCTCAGCAAGGTCAAAATAAAAACGCCTGGCTGAGAGCTCCTCTAGGGTCCAGGCTGCTTGCACGGTGTGTGCTGGTTCAGATGTAGCAGCCTCTGTAAAACCACTCTCCGCTCTGCCGGGGAACTTCTGCTGCACTCTGGATCTCATCATCACTTGTCCTGCACAGGGTTCTTCAAGACAGCCAGTAGCAAATTGTCCCGATTTCCTCCATTTTTTTCGGAGTCACTCAGACTACACAGCCACGGTGGTGAGATGACGAGGGGGAGGAGAGTAAGTCGGACCGTGGAACACTCTCTTCAAGGCCAAGTCCGCGCAAGCTCCCCTCTCGACACTCTCACCAAAGCTGCAAATTGGACTCTGCTGCCCAGGGGTGACCCACAGCCCAAAGAGCCTCAGATTCAGGAGGGGAGAGAGAAAGGAATTCCCAGTCTATCCTCCCTGTCAACAGGGCATGCTACAAGACCCCACTTCTTCCACAAACAGAACATGCTCGCAAAAGCCTTTTTCAAGGGGAGTATTTTAAATTACTACCATTAAGGCACCTCCTCTAACCCCCACCAACCATTCCAACCCTGCATCAGCTGAAAAAAAAACAGCCACTCAAGGTTTCCCCCTGTGTATATTAACAGAGATTTGCTATTTTTAACCACCACTCTATTGTTTGATATTCCCGGATAGGGGACAAGGAGGGAAGTGAGAAGGTGACTAGACAAAGCACTTACATTTGGCAGACAAATCAATTTCTCTTCCACCAAGAGGATGATTGCAAGAAACAATTTATCTTGGGTAGGAGGACAAAATCTTTGTACTCGCTACAATGACTTGGTCAGTATGTTAGAAGAACATACCTTTAAATGAAAATTGAAATTACACAATACCAGTATGGGCTGAGAAATACAGTGAGAGAAAAAATCTTTCTATTAGTGTCTAACCCACTGGACATTACACCCTCCTCAAAGCATGTCTATGTTTCTGTGTGTGTTCTTGTGTATGCACACGAGAGATGGAGTGTCTGCACACATGTCTGACTGAACAGGTACTCCAGCTCGATTCCCACGCCAAGACAGGTTAACGAATCAATGTTTTCCTGCAAACAATGACGTAGTTCAAATGATATTCTATTCCTTGGTGCATTTGATTCACACATATTTATAAAATCCCTACCCGTTGGTATTTGCCGACAGTCTGAAGGAGCATAGCACAGTGGCCAGAGCGCTGGGTGAGCATTCAGAAGGCCTGGGTTCAAAGCCTGACTGTGCTATTTACCGTCGTTTCAACATGCAGCTCAACCTCCCTCTGAGAGAATGGAGAAAGTCCAGTCCAGCCCACCTCCTTCAGAAGGATTTTGCAAACGAAATGAGAGCCTGGGTGTGACAGTTCTTTACCAACTACTGTGCACGTCTGACCAGGCCCCGTCACTACTCCCTCCTGCCTGGCCCCACACACCTTTCCTGACTAGAGCAGGACTTGACCACCAACCTGCCCTGCAGAGACAGTCATCAGACCCGCAAAGAGGTGCTCACCCCACTCATGGTTTGGGGATAAAATGAATCAAACACCATCATCTCTCCCTCCCACCACATTATACTCCTGGGATAACCCACATAAATGTTGACTCTGGATTCTCCACTCTCTTCCCCTCCCCAACCTTTAGCAGAGCTACTGACAAGTGGCCCAAGGGAAAGGCCGGCATTTCCCCGCGAGGGTCCTTCTACTCCCCCTATCCCAGCTCAAATGCTCATTAGCCTTGGGCCAGGAGCTTCAACTCTGAGTCTCGGTTTTCTTCATCCGTTAAATCAGGTAATAGCACCTAACTCAGAGCAGTGATCTGAAGAATGGAACCAAGGCAGAGGAAGCATCAGGCATGACGCCGGGCCCAGGACAAGGCCCCGGGGCTGGGGAATGACTGGCCATCGCCCACTGCTGCCTTCTTACCCTCCACAACGCCCACACCCACACTGCTCCGCCGCGTGTTCATGGGGGCCACAAAGAACCACTCGTTGGTCTTGTAGCTGTAGGCTTCCACCGACGCTAGGCCTGGAAGACAAGCGACTCATGAGACTTCCGTGGCACCAGGCCTCACCCTGCTGTGTGAAGAACAGTGAGGACGGTGAGGAGTCCAAACCTGGGGTCTGGAAACCCGGATGTGTGGCTGGGCACCACCTCTGTCTCACTGTGTGGCATGTGGCAACACCCGGAAACACACCTGCAGTGTCTCCCTGAGGGAACCACTAAGACTTGACTCACGGGGCGACTGTGAGAGCACAAGGGCTGTACCTGAACTGCATGGCAAATGTAAATTATTAAACATACAGAATGGAACTCTTTGATTCTAAGTAGACACCTGAGGTTGCCTCGCTGAACACCTATTCCAACTCCCTTTCCCCTTATCCTCCTCTGTCTTAGAAGCTGGAGAGCTAAACTCTTGCTTTCTGGACTCCTTCACAGCTAGGGGCGACCAAGTGAAGAAGACCTAAGCAGAAGTCTGATGGGGATTTCTGAAGTAGCCTTTGCTTTTCTGATACAGGTGCCATCCCTTTCTGTTTCTGGCTACCCGGAACACAAATGTGTCAGCTGGTGCTATAATAGCCATCTTGTGATCACGAGGAAAAGGCCAAGAGCATCTTAAAGAACTTGGCCTCAGTATCCTTGAGCAACTGGACCAAATCAGGAACTAATGATCTCTGGACTTCTTGTTTAATGAATAAAACAAAATCCCTCTTTTTAAAAGCCACAGTTTAGTCGGGTTTTCTATTAATACTTATAGCCAAAAGCAATTCTTAAAGATACAATGCACCACTATCCTTTTGTTCTCTTTATTCCCAGGCCCCACTCACTAAAGGCAGCCTCCCAAGGGGATAAAGACCCTGGAATTATATGAGTGAGGCAAAGAGAGGGTTGAGAAAGGTCACCAATTGTGAAGACACAAATGAAAATTCAAAGAAGTGAAAAATACTGTCTTTCACTTCCCTGGGGCCCAAAGGATATCATTTTAGTTGAACAGAGTTACTGTCTACAGAGACATCTCCCTGGTGATATGAGCAGTGATGAGATCATCTCTCCAAGTTCATGTCCACTAATGGTTTCAGATTGGAATGCTGAAGCTAGATAAAATTCTGGAGCAAGGGGGCTCGCCTGTGGTGACAAGCACTTGCAAAGCTTCAGTGAGGTAGCAGAAAGCGCAATGGATAAAACGGGCGACCAAGCCCACTGCATGGCCTGAGCCAGGTCTCTCCAACGGCTGAACCAGTTTCCGCGTCTGTTCAGCAGAGGGTTCAGAACAGGGTCCTGAGGCCCCGCCAGCTAAGCCTGCTCTGTTTCTAGGTTTCATCGCCTGAGTAAATAGGTTCCTAGACACTGGAAAGTAGGAAAGGGATTCTTCTGAATGTGGGGTCCTTCCTGGAGCCCTAGAAATCACAGTATGTGGGCAGTTACACGTTCTGTGTGTAAGAAGGTCTGGCTCCAGCCTCCAAGGCTAGGTGAGGATGAAGGATGGGTATGTTCCTGGGGCAGAAGCTACAAATGGACAGAAGGCTGGCCCAAGAACTGGCTAAACAAAACTGTGTTGCGTGAAGGGTGGGTCCCAAGCTGGGAGGGGTCAGAAACATGTCCTGGACCTACCAGTACTGCCATCAAATCCTCCCACGGCGTAGAGCAAGTCATTGAGCACCGCTGCGCCGAGCGTGCTCCGGCGCTCCTGCATGCTGGCGATGGATGTCCACTGGTCCTTCACGCCATCATACACGTCCACTGTGCGTACCCGCAGCGAGCCGTTAAACCCGCCCACGGCATACACGTGGCCGGCCATGAACACCACACCTGAGGTACAGGAAACCAAGACATCAAGGTCAGGTCAAGCAGCTGACTACTCATGTTGACGGGTGACAATGGGAGAGCAAGGCAGGCATGGGAAAACTCATCACAGAAGATAATCTCCAACTTTAGATATTTGGAAGTCATTATGGGGCACGTTGGATTTCTTTCCTCTCTTTTTCTAATTTCATTTGAGTCGAGCAAATACTTGAATTAGCTCGAACTCCCCAAGCACATAAAAACTAATCCCACAATAGGTAGCCAAAAACTGTGCAGGCAGGGAAGGAACAGGAGCCTACTGCACAGATGTTCGAGGACCCAAGGAGCAGGTCATGACTTCCGGCACCAAGTGGAGACCAGCTGGGGAAAGAGCCTACAGAACCGGGAGATGGTGCCACTCACCTGCTCTGCATCTCCTGGACGGAAGCTCGGCAATCTGGTCCCACCGGTCCTCCTCAAAATCGTAGCACTCCACACTGCGGATGGCCTTGGGCGCCTGGCCGCCAACCACAATCATGACCTCCAGAAAGACAAGCGGATATCAGCTGGGTCTCCCCCACATCTGGACGCATGAGTGACCAGTCCCTAGTACGTCCACGTGCTTATCGCCCAGGGTCGCGGGGTGATCTGAGATGCCAGTTTACAGAGCTCCATACACAGAGATGTTGCTCCTAATCACCAGCAGGTGTGAGTATTCAAGAAAAGTCTAACGAGCCGTGTCCACAGAGACACGATCACCAGGTCTGTCTCCCCTGTGCCCCGCTCAGGGCCACGCTGTAGGTATGTGAAGCGGCTCAGGGCATCTTCCGCAATCTCAGTGCCCTTAGGATCGGGAGTGGTGACGGGTGGCTAAATGCTATATCAAAACAAACTTGAATATATTTTGGGAGAGAGTGCAGAATTTGGATGTCTTTTTAAGATAAAGTTATTCAAAAATATTTCTAAATGCCTAGACTGCAGGGGGCACTTATTCACTGCAGTACAGAAAAAAAATTGTGAAACACTGTTTTGCGGTGGTTACCACAAAGCTTATGAAACTGGTAATATTCTAGAAAACAGTGCTAACGGTACTAGTTCCACAAGTAAGGTAGAAGCTAGTGCTGCGGGGCACGGTGGGGAGTGTGCTGTCATTAACTTGTCACCACAGCTGTGAGGTAGATGCTATCATCCACACTGACAGACAAAGGAAAGCTCAGATAACCGATCTAAGTGGCCCAAGGTCACACAGCTTAAAGTGGCGGAACAGAGACTGAAACCACGTCTAGCTGACACGAGGTGTGGCAGCCCCGGCCCTCTCCTGCTCTAGACACAGGGTCCCAAACAGCTCACCGCATCTACGATCATCAAAACACAGGTCTCTTTTCATGAGTGGGTCATGAAATCAACTTAATGGGTTGCAACCAGCATACTTTAAGTAGAAAAGCACAAAAATTATCATATTAAGGGTGTCGTTTCATGAAATTTTTGTTCTGCTTATATACACTTGTACGTGTCTTCCAGATAGCAATTTAAATGTATTTTTTACTTCAGGGCGTGGCCAAAAGAAAAAAAAATGAAAGCCACTGCTCTGGCTAGGTTAATAGAATTGCAGGGCTTAATTGTGGTATCCCTGTTGCTGTGATTTTTGTCTTATGTTATTCATAAATAAAAATTATTATTGACAAAGTTACCTGTAGTTTATATATTTTAATAAACTGTACAAATTCCAAGCTGCCCCCACCGCATCATGCTTGCTCAATGGCGTTATGTGCTTTCCCGGGTGGAGAGAGAGGGCTAGAGGTCGTGGCGAGCCAATGGAAGGCACAGAATTTGATCATTACCTGCAGCCCGTCCTACCTGCCCAGTGGTTCTCAAACTTCAGCGTGCATCTGGAATCACCCGGAGCACAAACTGCCGGGCCCTGTACTCAGAGTTTCTCATTCAGTGGCTCTGGCGTGGGGCCAAGAATTTGCCTTTCTAACGAGTTTCCAGGTGACGCTATGGCTGCTCTTCTAGGAGTCGTACTTTGAGAACCACTTTTCTAACCCACAGCCTGCAGGGATTTCCCGATGATACAACATTAACAATTTTTGCCATTATGAATTATCACAGTGCTTTTAGCTTCCCCACAAAGGATCTCTGGGGAGAGACGTGATCACCAAAATCTGTGAGTTCAAAGCAGCACCTCCCGCAAGTGACATCATCCACCATATGAGAGGCAAGACCAACGAAAACCATTGCTCAATCATTTATGCCCAAGTTCCAGGTTCTTGCTCACTCAGCTGCCCACATGGGTGGTCCCTAGTCATCAGAGTTTGTCCACAGATATCTGTGACCAAATGTGTGCGACCAAGTCTCAAAAATTCAGAAATCGATTCTGACTTCGAAAGCATTCCAAAAAGAACCCCAGGACACACAGTCCAGGCTTGAGCTGCTGCTGCTTCTGGAAATAAACATTTGATACTTGACTCTACCATACGCTTCAGCTCAGAGGGTCCACTGCTCTGGGTCAAGAACAGCCTTTTTCAGAGAGGAGCTGAGTCCTGCATTGCTTCCCATCTGTCTTTGCTCAGATCGGCACCCACGAGCAGCTCAAGGGAGCCAATGAACACAGCCCCTGGGCAAACTTCAGACAATGTCCAAATGTGCTCCTCTAGGGCAGAATGACTCACCCTGTGTTTATAAGCATACCTAGAACAGGCATTGTCCTTCTAGTTTGGAGTTGGTAAGGCTAAACTGAAGGCAAAATACTGCAAGGATTGTCTTTGAAGTATGACTCTTGGAGCTAAGTGAGAATAACACCCGTTTTTAGCTTTCCTTCTGCAGTGACTTCGGGCATCCCACACCCTCACACATGCTGTTCCCTCACTTTAAACGTTCCTCCTCTCTCTGATCCCTCTGCTTTAACACGGGCTTATCTTTCAGGTCTCAGTTTACCTGTCACTTCCTCCAGATGGTCTTCTCTGACCTCCAAGTCAGATTTACGTGTGCCTCCTCTGAGATCTCACCTGCCTGTGTGTTCTGCGGTGTGCTGTAACCATCTAGTGACTAGTCTCTTGCTCTCCTAGTGAGCCCTGCCGGAGCAGAAAATTTACCTGCCTCAGTCACCAAGACAACTTTAGGTACCCATGTCATGGCCAGGTAAAATCGAGGGCTCACATATTTATTTGGAGTAAAGAATAAATAAACAAACAACCCAAGTGTCCATCAATACATGAGTGGATTAATAAAACGTGGTATATGTATACCACGGAGTTCTACTTGGCCACAAAAAACAGTGGTGATCTAGCACCTCTTGTATCAGCCTGGATGGAGCTGGAGCCCTTTCTACTAAGTATCCCAAGAATGGGAAAACAAGCACCACACGTACTCACCATCGAATTGGTTTTAACTGATCGACACTTAAGTGCACATATGGAAGTAACATTCATCGGGATGGGGCAGGTGGGAGGGGAGAGGAGGGGATGGGTATATACACACCTAATGGGTGCGGTGTGCACTGTCTGGGGGATGGACACGCTGGAAGCTCTGACTTGGGTGGGGCAGAGGCAATATATGTAACCTAAGCATTTGTACCCCTGTAATATGCTGAAATAAAAAAAAATGGAAAAACGAACAAAAAAACCGAATAGCACATACAAGAAGTTAAAAGAAAAAAATACACAATTAAATGAAAAAATACAAAACTGGACTATCACTTTCTTTGGTTAAGACATATTGGAACACCAGACTATAATTCTGGGGACACTAAGGAAAACAAAATAAAAAGAGAAAGCAAGAACTTTCTCTCTTTTGACTCAACCACCAGAAGAAAGTTTCCTTGTTCTTTGCGTAAGCTATCAAATTTCTTCTGTAAATTAAAAAAAGGCAAAACTTTCAGGAAACCTCACGATGCCCCAGAAACTGTCTCCCACCAGAGATGGAGAGGTTACATTTATATTGGAGAAAATCTACCACTCATCTGAGAATTTTTATAGTAACACAGAAACAATATAATAGAAATACAAAAATTTTTATGTTAACATAAAACCCAAGTAGAAAGACAAAAATACAAGACAAGGTTTCCAAAATAAACTTGCCTTTGAGCTCATAAAACCACTGGTGAGAGACAACTTTTAACACTGAAAACTTGTACAACTATCTGAGAAGCAGAATTATGAGGTTTTGTGGGATAGGACCATCATTCTGGAGGTAGCTCAAGGCAGCAGGGAGAACAGGTGTATATTCTGCTTCTCTCGTAAGCATAAGAAATCTATGTTTTTGTTTTATTTTATTTTTAGCTTACACATAGTAGTCATACATACGTAGGGGGTACAATGTGATGTTTTGATACATGTATATATTATGTAATATTCAAATCAGGGTCATCAGCATACCTATCATTTCAAACATTTGTCATTTCTTTGTGGCGAGTACATTCAAAATCCTCTCTTCTGGCTATTTTGAAATATACATCATTGTTAACTATACTCACCCTACTGTGCAAGAAAACACCAGAACTTATTTCTCCTATCTAAGTGTAACACGGTACCCCATTGTCAACTTCTCCCCACACCGCCTACCTTGCCCAGTCTCTGACAACCACTATTCTGCTCCTACTTCTACGATACTGGATTTTTTAGATTTCACATGTGAGCGAGATCATGTGGTCTGTCCTTCTGTGCCTAGCTTACTTCACTTAACAGAATGTCCTCCAAGTTCATCTTTGTTGCTGCAAATGATAGGATTTCACTCTTTTTTACGGCTGAATAGTACTCCTTTGTGTATTTATACATTTTTTTAACCCATTCATCCACTGATGGACACTCAGGTTAATTCCATATCTTGGCTATTGTGAATAGTGTTGCAGTAAACGTGGGAGTGCAGTTATCTGTTCAACAAACTGATTTCATTTCCTGTGGATATATACCCAGTGGTGGGATTGCTGAGTTATATGGTAGTTCTCTTTTTAATTTTTCCTGGACACATACAACCAACCAAGACTGAACCATTAAGAAAGAGAAAACCTGAACAGCCCAATAATGAGCAATGAGATTGAATCAGTAATAAAAAGTCTCCCATCAAAGAAAAGCCCAGGACCTGATGGCTTAGCACTGCTGAATTCTACCGAACATTTAAAGAAGAACTAATACCAACTCTTCTCAAACTATTCCAAAATATTGAAGGGCAGGGAATCCTTCCGAAGTCATTCTTAGAGGCCAGCATTATCCTGAAACCAAAACCAGACAAGGACACAACAATAACAAAAAACAAAACAAACAAATGAAAACCTACAGGCCAATATCCCTGGTGAACATAGATGCAAGAATCCTCAACAAAATATTAGCAAATCAAATGCAACAGCACATTAAAAAGATCATTCACCATGATGAAGTGGGATTCATCCCAAGGATGTAAGGATGGTTCAACAAATGCAAATCAATAAATGTGATATATCACATTAACAGAATCAAGGACAAAACCACATGATCATTTCAACAGACAGAGAAAAAGCATTTGATAAAATTCAACATCCTTCATGATAAAAATTCTCAACAAATT